AGAGAGTCGTCTTTTATCAGTATTGATGGTGTTTAAACAGGAAATTACAATCACAATGTAGCTGAAGTAGCTTTGAGTGGTTCAGTCGTTCAATAGTAGATTAGCGTTAGTTTAGTGTCACTGAGCTACTGAATGAGTCCACTGAGCTTCAGCTGACAGACGGCCAGCCTGTCAGCTGTCTGACAGTTTTGTTGTGAGTGCAGTGGAAGTGAGTGTAGAGAGAGGGAGAGACCAGGCCTCACTGTTGGGCCATCACTGATGTTATTGTGACAGTCAGAACAAAATGCCCATGGCCTGAATTTAAAAAGTGGACTCCAGACGACTAATGCCCTCAGTTTGTTCCACTTTCAGTTACATTCAAGCACTCATATTATTGCTGAATGAACCAGTAACCCTTACCAGCAAAGTCCCAGATTCAGAGACCTACGTCCTGACTGTAAAACTGCTGCTTGAACAATGCTGATCATTTTAGTGCAAATTTGGCAGCAGGTCAAAGTTATGTCTGTGTGAAGGACTGAAACCTGCCTGGTTACACAGAAACTTCCTTTGACAGTTCTTATGATACACAAGCGAGTACACAGTTTACTCCACTGTAGGTCTTATTGGTCTGGTTCTACATGCTGAAATACATACTTGCCCTTCGTGGTGGTAATGCAGGCTTTTAGGGGCAGCCAGTTTAGGCAGAGCTGGCTGGATGTTTATATTTGTTCTGAGATAAATGCTGGAAGGACTGTGTGAATTTCTGTGTAACCTAATAAGCGTTCACATCTTCCCTTTTTTTCTTCTTCTTTTTGCGTCAGTCTCTGTTCACTCACTTGAATGTGAAACACTTCCACTATGACCAATGCTGAGATTACTCAGCAGTTTCTGTTTTAGACCTGTGACTTTAGTTGCAGTATTTAGGAAAGCTTTTCACATTTGACCTCTTTGTTCATTAATGCAGGTACGCTGGATTCTTCTGATACTGACTTAAGAGTGTCCAGCAGGCTGACGATCAACATCTGGTAAGAAATCTTGTGCTTTCTCTCTTTTGATGAACTGCCCTTTTCTTTATGTGTAATACAAAATCCAGCATTGATCATAAAGGTAGTAAAGCAGGCGACATCTTTTTGCGTGTTGATTGATTGCTCTGTGATTTAAATTTAGGGCGCTATTTTTATCAGGATATATCAACAAATTTTGTTATATTATTCACAACAATATAGGAAAAAATACTGAATAAAGTGTGTTGTTAATTCAAAAAAATTAAGAACACACTTCTTTGTTTGAACTCATTTGTTGACACTTGGTTCACCTTCACTGCCTGCTTGTTTCTCTTTACTCGTGTCATCACAGTCTGGTTGTTGTCCACAGTGTATGTTTGCCTCAGGCAGTGAAAACAAACTTTGCAAAATACCCAGATACGAGGAATGAAACTATAGAGATTCAGTTCTCAAGTGTGTACCACTTGTTTGCATTACATGGCTCAACAAAACGTGAAACCTCAGCAAACTCTTGATTGTGTTTTATCTTTGATTGTGTTTTTTCTTTTTTTTAGTCTCTGTGCACTCTCCCTTGAACTTCTTTCACATCTACTTCAGATTACTTTTGACTTGACCTACTTTAGTGCTTAATAAAGAATATAACAAATACAGCAGCAAAAGCAGCACTGGCACTGATGAGTGCAGAATTCAATGATCTGTGCATTTTGTTGCTGTTCATTTAAAAGGGTGAAGCAGGACATGTTGTCTTCAGTCAGTGACAGCATTCACGTTGCGCTGTCACCATGTAACCACATCCCTGTAATCAAAACAGTGTAAACCATGTTAAGGTTCCAGCCTGCCTCAAAGACAGGGAGTGTGAGTGTGCACATAACTGGCACCATCAAATATATTTAACCAGTTACTCCACTCATTTTACACTCATGCATAGTTCATATGCTTTGTGTCACGCTCACTATATACCATTGTTTATTTTTCCTGCTGCTTGGTGGCTCAGATTGGAGTGTAACATTGATGCAGATGTTAATTTGTTCAACTTCAGGGACTCACAGTGTGTGTTAGTGTTGGTGTATAAGGTGAAATTGGTCCTTACATTTAATGAACATGTTTCTGTGTGTTACAGTTTGGCTTTCACTGAGAGCTTTCCTGGACAGTTTTTATTTATGCACATCTTTTCAGGATGCATTTGTTTCCTTTGTTTCAGCAAGAGAGAGAGAACTATTGTTGAAGGAACAGAAGCAAAACACTCAAAGTGTGATTCTCGTTCTGTATATGAAGTGTGAGGTTTCATGTTGAGGATCTTCTAAAAGAATCCACCCTTAGTTTTATCAGTGTATAAATAGTTTTCCAGGAATACAGATACAGACGTGACATGAATGTTGGCTGCACTCATTCAGACAGGATTTCCTTCCTCTTTTTTTAACAAATATTTTCCCTCACCTTTCATTTGTCCCTACTACTCATGACTTCCCAGAGGTTTAACAAAAAAGATGTTTTTATTACTTTTAAAAAAAGT